AACAAGGAGATACTCTCTGTTATCGTTGAAGAGGAGGTTGTTGTTCACGTCCATACACCTCATTGGGGAGAAACTCTTAACATAGGCATACAGCTTCTCATAGGAGAGCTAATCTTGAGCGTCCAAGTCCTCAGGCTTTACAATATAATATTCAGACTTTTGCTCGAAATGTTTCCATTGCCATTCGAGCGAAAACCTAGCCACTAGTCGGGTAACTGGTCGTCTATCCTCCATCTCTTCCACACGATTGTATAAGGAATCTACAGCCGCGTCCATCAGAGGCTTCACAAGAAAGTACCTTTCCTCAAAATGACGAACATACTCCAAATAAGACCGAAAGAGTTTCCCAAACTGTTTGAAAGACACCCATGCTTAGCCCCCTTCAATGGTCTGCCTTTGTAAGTGGAAAATACGGAAGAAGAGGGGAAGCGTAGTGCCTATTTGTAGATATTTACAGACAAGCTCGAACGCCCGCATGAACGCAAGTACGTTCGGGTGAAGTTGGGAGGGTGCCAATTGCAGCCACTGGAAAACTCCCACTTGGAAGTCATTTAAGGGCAAACGCATCCCCGCCTCTTTGAATGCAAATTCGTACATGGGGAAACGCTTGTCCGGATACGTCGAGTATATACTCCTATTACAATAAGGAATTTGGAGAATCCAGTTGGCGGGGCCCCCTTAGCTTGAACTTCCGAACAGTTGAACGCGTCTATTGCATCGTGCGAAAAGCACGACCTCTTATTTCTAGGCTCAGGTGCGACCCTGGCCAAAGGGTCCTCCTCGACGTTGATTTTATCTTCATGGTTGGCGGGCAATACGTCCTCCCCGACTGGATGTGCCATTATACCTGAAAATCAGGGGAAAATAGTGAATTAATCATCATTAAATTCACCCTTCCACTGCAAATCAAGTGAAAGGGAAATGAAACTGTCGAGGAACGGACTTCGACCCAAGCCCTCGAATGCACACTAAAACAAACCACGCCTCTATTGGGGTACATCTAGTCAAACGAGCAAGGCTCCCGAATCAACCTCCGCTATTCGGGGAAAATGACCCTGACATCATGAAATTCATCTATCTATCATGAACTCCAATGGACATTCATGGATGTTCATCACTGAACCCATGAATGTTCATCAAAGATTCTTCCAATCAAGACGAAAACTAAGCATTTAATCTAAAAATTCTAAATAAAACATGTTGTTAAGAGGATATGACTTAGATAAGAATGCCTTGAATAACTCTAACAAGAAGTTGAGAGGGGGGGATCCACGCGCGGGAAAGGAGGATTGTAGAAGAAAACTTGAGAATAACAAATGAAACCCTGGGGTCCCTTTTTTATAGGTGGCTCACACCCCACGAGGTTGCACACAAAAAGTCATCATTAGTTTGGACCTTTTTGGACTCCCCATAAAAAAATGACACCCCAAAATAACAGCCACGTGGCGCAACAACCAGCCACGTGCCCGTTCTTAAAAGAAGAACATATCCCCGACTTCCACACGAAATGTCGTGCTCGAGCACGACGAAGACATCTCGTATGACGAAATGCTCGACATTATGGCTAAAACATGCAAATGGGCATATTCATCATGTTCCACCTCACGAGGATGAAATAACGCTCGACATCATAGCGACACCTTGAGGACAAGCACGTCGAAAAGGAGTCCGAGGAAGTTCCCCGAGGCCTATATGACCCTGACGGCGCCGGACAAACAACTGTCCTGGCTGACCTCATAACTCGTGTGTTTACGAGGTCCCTGACACGGTTAAACAGGTTGTCCCTGACGCGGGGGAACAACTTGTCCCCGTTAGAGGGTTGCGTCGAGCTTCTCGAACAAATTCTCCCTGACCATGAAACTGAACTTAAGTCATCACCCTTTCACCTAAGGGCATTAACTTGGGGGGCTTCTGATCTGGGCTGGGTCAGCGCTTGCCCCACCGTTAGGGAGGCCCAATTCAACACTATTGCATAAGGCCCAAAGACAAGCAGCCCAAGTTCGGGATCGTTGGGCAACTTCCCATGTGTCTATTGGGGAACATGACCCACGTGCCTGCATCATCGTCATCATAACTGCCCTCCGGGAATCACGGGACCACCACATGTTCTCTCAAAACAGTTGATCAAGGAGGAGGCCACGTGCTGGACTCCATACACACGTAAACCCTATCAATCTTCAATGTTGGGCCTCATCGTGGCCCAACATTGAAGACCTTGGCCCATCGCTGGGGGTTATAAATACATTCTCACTTGAGAGGATCGGGTATTGAATCATTCTATCTTACTCACTCGTACTTACTTGCATTATTTTGAACCTTACATTGGCATCAAAGTGTCTTGTAGGTACCCCCACCTCATCTACAACTGCTGCTCAACTCATAGTTCATAAGCTTTGACAATCTATTCTAGTCAAGTACGATCAAATATGAATTAATATTTAAATTATAAATTTAATATTTAAACTTAATATTGATCTAATTTATATTAAAAAGTAAGAAAATGCCTAGACATGGTTGAAGATTCTGCTTTTTTTAGCCGTGTAAATTCTTGGTTGAAGATTCTACTTTTTTTAGCAATGCAAATCTATGTGTAATTACTTATGTCCTTTGATAAATGTTTTAACACCCTGCATTAGTAAAAACTATACTTGCATTAAAATGCTACAATTTATTTATTTCTGTTATAAGATTATAATTACAAGTTTGAAAATATATGTGATTTAAAATAAAACAAACGAGTTTAATAAAAAATCAATTTTCTCTCTACTATCACGTAAAACATCATATTATTTTCACTTCACATCTTTGAATTAATTAGTATCTAAAATTTTGTTGTAAAGATCAGATTCCATGTCAAAAATAAACTAAATAAGAGTTGAAAATTAGACAAATATAAATACACCATATCATATCCAAAAAAATTAAATAATAAAATAATTTCACCAAGGTTATTAATATCAACCTTTAACCATACCCGAATGCATATAAAGTAATTAACTCAAGATTAACAACAATAACGACAATAACCACAAAGAGTTGGATGCAAAATACATATGCTCTTAAATTATATGATTCAGATATAATCAGTTCGCCACAAAGGCAAAGGCACCACACAAAAATTATCCCATATCAATGAGTAAAATAACCCGCCACTAAGGCACTACACAGAAATGCATATGACATGATATGCATGATGAAAAATATAATAGAATCACCGGCCACTAAGGCAATTACACAGAGAAACTAGTACACCACCTTCTATTCTTAGCCACAAAGAGCCTTCGTCACTAATTTATGGTGATTATGTATTGGCTTAGCCACACCGGTCAAGGGCCATTTGGAGACTACTAAGGAGAAAGTCTTCAGCAGAAGACTTACAAAGGGATACTGCCAAGGCCAAAAATAAAATTCGAATTCGAGTTCTCTTGCCGAGGAAGAATGGAATGATTCTTCCCACTTTTTCTTCCTTTATGCCGATGTTGACTCTGATCACCTTGAATACTATCCTTTCCTTAGGAATAGCAGGAAAGATCAGATCCATGAAGACTTTGGGTCAGGGGTAAGGATATTTAGTTAAACCCGCCCCAGTCTTTATCCTAGGAATAAAATATTTAAAAAGGATCCTCCCGAAAAAGCTTGAACGTGTCAAGTAGAAGTCTTTCCAAAGCCAAGTATGGTTAAGCTTCTTGTCCCACCTCCTAATGGAAACTCGGTCTTTTTGTATGACATTCCTAGAGAGCCTCTGACTACACTTCATGCCAAATTCTTGCTTGGGTTATCCTTTATCATTTTTTCTAAGCTAGTTCACCTTATTTTTTTGGAAGACTCGGTTTATCCATTAGCTTGAGCAAAGGTGTTGAGTGAATCATTTCAAAAAAAACTATATATATTAGCAAACTCTTTTACTTGATCACCTGTGAAGACTCTACCTTGATCGACAACCAGGGAAAAGGAATCTGAAGCTACTTAGCTACACGTCGAAGATATTCTTCAATATCCTTATCTCGAAATTGCGTAAGATAAAGAAGCTCTTCGTCGAATTAAAACAAGGGACTTTGAAAAAGGTCTCATCAATGACTTCTCTCTGGCCTTACCTGACTATAGAATGTAGTTAATCCCCTGACTGCATTAGACAACAAACAAAGGCTTTTCACAGCTTTTATACGAGAAAAGCTGGGAATTATTTCCTTGTTCTTACTTCTTATTGTTTTCCCGATTTTCGGATAAGTATGGGTTTAGTTGGTTTCCTTGGGACGATAGGTAAAGCTACTCACGGGACACTTGAAATATAAATGTGTGATGCCCGAGTACGTTTTCTTAATGAATAAGAGAGATAGGAAGGATCCTTAAAAAGGAGACTGACATAGGGAACATACACAAGTGAGCATCGATGGCTGCTTAATTCCCCTTATTTATTAGGGCGTGGGCGTCGCCTTTAGGTGTTTTCTTTGTTGCTTCCATTAACCCCTATGTTGCATTTGATCCATCTGTCTCATCACCAGAGGCGGATATGTGCCCAGGCATCACCTCCCTTTCGGACTCTTTTAACCCTTGTCACATGCATCACCCACACCGTACCCCTAAATCATTATATTTTGTATATGATCTACTTTCATATTCATATTCATACTATATAGGTATATAAGATGAAAGATCGGCACCGGGATTTCAGGGTGATGGCCGGATGATATTATGCTAGCAATTATTCTTATTTATTCCTGGCCTTACCCTAGATAAAATACTATCCACTCTTTAAGACTTTAATGATGAGTAGAACACTGCTCAATACTCATCTATCACAAGAGACCGGCCTAAGAATTTAGGGACATATCTAGTATCGCTGAACAGCTAAAGTCAACAGTAGCGGTAAGTTCTCCAACTCGATAAAAAAGAAGTTGTATCGAACTTCTCTCTTTAAATTAAAAAGGATAGGTATCCTGAAACCGTAGCCCGAGCATCTTGTTATCATATCTTCGAGACTTGCTGATCTGCTCTAGTCTTCATAGAGCATTTCCAAGATGCAGACAAAACTCCAACCTATAATGACAAATGAAAACTTCAGTAGGCAATATGTTTAGATATGAAAGTTGGAAGGCAGTGTGTTTACAACAACTAAAGCATGTTGGTGAATCATACTTAGCAATTGTCCAATATCGTCCTAAGTATGAATCAGCTAAAAAGGCTCCAAGATATGGCGTGATGTAGCATGTGCCTGACCAAGTTGTGACACTTTTAGCAGCGGCCGCATTCCCTGATTGAAACACTCTCCAAGATAGTTCACCAAGTTTGTACTCATTCCATAGTATGCCAATCTTTCGCAACATTCATTTCCTGTTACAAGTTTTTCAACATTCAACATCTTAAAATCTTAAAATCTTCAAATTATATTACACAAGCATATATACGACAACAACAATAGCGGCTATTTAGTATCGGTATTTGAACAAATTGCTATTGTTCTGCAATACGCTGGCACTATAGCACCGTAGCATTGCAGAATTTGAACAAACCACTATTTTCTTTTGATACACAAACATTCAGATGCATTATGCTTATTCACACAACAATGTTTGTATTTCCACGAATAAAAAGAACAAAAATTAATAATCATGTACGAAGAATGAACCAGCAAGCTTTCCATTTTCCCGTCTTTTTTTTTGTTGGCAGGTTTTCTTCTGATATTGATATTGATGGTTCCATCTTGTGTATAAATGTCATCATCTTCTGCCATACTATCAACGCATATTGCTTATTCGCCGGTTCCGTTTCGCTTTCTTATCTTCAAAGACTCAATTACCTACAAATATCATCACTATGTTGAATTTGTTTTTTTTCTTTGTTGCTGAATGCACTTAATGAGATAACAACACTTAACAGAAACAATAAATGACCTAATATGACCTTAATGTGACCGAAATCTACGTTGTGATGAATCTGTCCAACTAGGGTGTTGTAGGTGATGCTGACTAAGAAACGGTGAATGATACTACCGTGTAACCAACACTGTAGCAACGCGGCATTTCACACGTGAATCGACTTCACAACCTGCACAGAAATTAACACAAGACAGCAACCTAAAAACTGAACAGAAAGAGAAATGGATTGAGATATGAAAGTGGTGGTAGTATACAGTATAATGAGAAGAAGTGGAACAAGTTATTACCCAGTGCAAGTTTTATTATTCGGGTAAACACTTCCTTTGAATTTTGAAAAAATAAGTGACATTTGGACTACTGCAAAATATGATTGGATAGTAGAATTGTATTTATTGAATTATCAAAAAGGGATTTATTAAGTGTAATTTATTTTTTAATAAAAGAGTAAGAATAAAAGTGCTTAAACATCTTCCATTTTTAGTTAGGTAATAGATGTCGGTGATTCTTGATTTCAAAAACACTCTATTCTTTCTTTTCGTTAAAATCAATGTATTTAAAAAAATAAACTAAAGATTAGAATACGTAAAGGTTCGTGTTTTGCTTGTCAAAGTTTCAATAATGCGCGTTGAGTTATACGTCCAGAATTCAACGAAGTAAAAGATTATCATGTAGATCTATGACATAAAGGACTATGACAAATTGTCTCAGCTAAAGAAAAAGGACAGATAGATTAATTCTACAAGTTGGTATTAAGCGCATACTTTTACTTTGATAAATTAATTCTACAAGTTAGATATTTATACGAAAAAATATGTATTTCATGATATATCAATAACAAAAAAAATTCTTTGGTAGTTCATCATCGTATATATTAATACTTAAAGATATAATAATAAACATAACCGTCATAAGTTTTTGGAAGTCTTATATAGATTATTCACAATTTAACAAGGAAAAAATAAATAGAGACCCAATGTAATCAGTATTTAACTGACAAATATTTTATGAAGTCACGTTTAACCATAAATTAATCTTGAAAATTGTAAACCTTATACGGTAGGCAGCATTGCACGCCCTTAAAGATGGTCTTTGTAACACTGTAATTCTACCCGACAATTATTATAAAATCATAATTATAAAAATTCAACAACTAAATCAGGATGCTACAATCTCAACTTAAAACAACGATATTCATTACAGATACATAACACATTAACATTGGATGAACCAACAACAACATAAATTAATCTTTTGAAACTAACAACTTTCATAACTACGCAACATAAATCATAACATCCAACTTAAAAGGACATAACGTCTTGTCCAACTAAAACATCTCCAAGTAACAATTTCATAACGAAAGTCAACTTAAAATTCAACAACTGAAGTAATAACAACGGTAAAGCAACAAGTGTTCATCCCCCTGAATGTTATGTATCAGAGCAATGAACCTACTCGAACTACTGAAGGTAAACCGCCTTCACTTTGGATTACCTGCACGTTACCAACATATGGGTAAAATTCAAACAGAAGGGGTGAGATATCTAACAATATAATTGAACGTATGATAAACATTATATTAGAACCAGTTCATGCAAAATCACCGCTTCACAACTTATAAACAACAACAATCACAACAAAATATCAACAAAATATAACGATTAAGTCATCGACGCGACAACTCAAATACGCAACGTGGAATGCGACCTATTACTATGCACATGCATGTGGTACCAATGGAGCAGAACTCCCAACTTAGAAATCAACCAATAAATAGAGGCATCAACAAGGCATAAGCCTTCAACTTTATATTTGTCAACCCAGGTCAACTTAATGAGCATCAGCTCCAACATGATATGTTATGTATGCATTAACAACATGAACGTACTAACAACAATAATTCAACTTAATTCAACATTGGCCATAAGCCTACGGTCTTAGCCAAAAAATAGAGGCAATACAACAATATATTCACCTGCAACTTCAACAATTAATAGCAACAACATCACAACAACTTATATATCAATACAATTATCGACCAAGTCCTATTAATAATATTCCACCGATCAATCATTTTTATTTGAATCAATGAAGCTATTAATTTCTGACACTAATTTACCTCTACTGCTATTTTAATTTATAAAAGTTTTTCTGTTATTTTCTGCTATTACTATCCTACTATTGTTGAGGTCCTTCTTCTAAATATCTACTACTATTATTTTCCATAAATTACTACTACTAACGATTATCATTATGTTTTATGCTAAAATTACCTTATGCTAGTGTTGTACCCCAAAATTTTCTCTCTCATTTTTCAAGACATTTCCCACAAGATCTCCAATAGCTCAAGCTTGTACAAGGATTGACTAGGTCAAGACATCTCCTCAACACTGATGCCTCAAATTAGGGTTTGGGTTTTCACAAGGACAATTGGACTTTTAATGTATCATATGACTTTCATGGATCATTATGGACTTTCAAGATTACTCATGTCAAGTTTCAAGTCTTGGATCACAAAAATTGCTTAGTCAATTGATCAGATGACCTAAAATAAGCTGTATTAGATGAAAAGTCAATTGTGGTCAACCTACAGTCAAAATTCAAGATTTTGGACCAATATCAACATTTTGAAGTCATTTGTATCACTTTATCAAGATTGGATCATAATTCTCCAAGAAAATTGTTCAAATCATCAAAAGGGCAAAATGGTCAAAATTAGGGTTTTGACTGAGAATGACCAATCTTTGACTTTTGACCTAGTACATGACTTATTGGTTTGAAGCATGATATCAAGGACTCAAATGCATCATCTTGACCTAATTGCATGTTTCAATTCATTTCCCAAGATCAATTGAGGTATAGTTTAAATTTGGTCAACTGATGAAAAAGTCAATTGTAAACTGAAAAGTCAAATTTTGACTTTCTGATAAAAATTAAGTTTCAAAGATCACATTTCATCAAGACATGCAAAAATATGAGACTTGACCATCAAGAAATCAAGAAAGTCAAAAGTCAATGTGAAAAGACAAACTTTTCAAAACTTAGAAATTTTTCTAAGTGTTTTTTATACATGATAATTTCATTACTTCATGCCAATTTTTCATCAAGATGCAGGATGATTCAAAGAAAACTTTCAACATGAAAGTTGTAGATCTTGATGAATTCTACAACTTTGTATTAGAGGGTTGATATCCAAAAAATTCTTAGATTTGAAGATATAAGCTCATGAAGTCATGACATTTTCATCCAACACTTAGAGACATTTTCATCCAACACTTAGAGAAATTTTCAACAGATTTTGGTCAGTTTTTATCTCAACTTCTTGGCCATTTTCATCAAGTTCCAATTTGATTTAACAAAAATGGAAAACATGAAAGATGTAGATAATGTTTCAAGCTTTCCAAAATGTCCAAGAGCATGAATTTATCATACTTGAGCTAGGAGATTCAATGGCATGAAGTTGGGCATCCATTCTTGAATTGCAAGTCATTTTTTTGAAGAGCATATAACAAAATCCTTATGCCATGCTGCATAATCTTACTTTGCAGGCATTTTGACTTGCAAATCTATCCATAATTAGATGTTTACACAATTGATTGAATCATTATCCAAGTGATTCAAGTATTGTCCATTGTATCATTCCATTTATGGAACAAAGACACCATTACCATTCACATAAAGCATACTTTATACAAAATCAGCTCTCCTCAAGCCTCTCAACTGTTTTTTATGCACACATAATGTCAAAGCAATGAGCAACATGCCTAAAAGCCTCTAGCAACTTCAGACCATGCTTGTACCATGCATTGGAACACCATTTTTCATGATAATTTGGTTGTTTCATCTCAACCAAACCAGAATTCCATAACTTGTAAAAAAACTCTCTCGTCCTCTCAAACCTTCTCTATAAATAAAGAAGTCATTTTCAAGCTAAAGGCCCAAAATTTCTTTTGTGTAGACAAATTCTCAAAATCCCTTCACTCACAAAAAACCAGAATTGTTCATAAAACCTCCATCTTTGAGCTTTGAAGTCCAAATCTTTGAATCTCATACCTTGCAAGTTTTCCTCAAACAAAACCATCCAAATACTTTACATATATCATATAGAAGTTGTTCAAACACAATAACAACTTTTGTAACATTATCAAACTCAAACACATTATTTTGCAAGTTGACTTGGTTGGAGAGATTGAAACACTTTCCGCACAAAGTAAGGATTAGAACAACTCCAAGGAGGTCTAAGGAAGCATAATAAATCATCACATTGAACCTAGAAACATCCATACACATTTTGGGTTTTCACTTCAAGAGGTAAGTTTTCTCAAACTGTGTTATCCTTGTTCATACATCATTTTACTTTCATTTTCAAAAGAATAAAATAGGACAAATCAGAGTAGAAGAGTTGCAAACACTCAAAACTACAGAAAAATTCTTCTGGAAGCCTGACA